CCTCAATAAAGAGCATAATCAATTATTAATTTTGACATACTTCTGCTAAATAAAATTCCTACAAGAATTGGATATTAGTAAGCTTTTCCATTTGGAAATTACGCCAACATTCGTTAAAAAATGACCATTTAAGGGTTAGTTGATGAATTCAACAGTATTTTTGTTTCTAAAATAGTCTTGTTAGGAGTATCATGCTATTTTATAAAGAATATTCATTAAATCGTGATTTTTTCCAAGAGTTACCTCTTTGATCAAAGAAGCCAATGTAGACATATTCAGGCATATCTCATTTTTATAACTAAAATCAATGAAACATGCAAGTCTGATGCCTAATAGTTACAAAGAGGAGTAATTAGTCATTGCGGTGTATCCCAATTCTAGCATTCTTCCTGCATTCTGTATTTCCAGGAGCTGCCAAAATCAAATTTTCTTTCTGCAAATATGCTACCTGCATCTGAAGTGAGTTCACTCAAGTTTCCTCAGCAGAAATCCCAAAATTACATAAGTAACTTCTTCTTTTCCTCCTTCCTGCCTCACTATCCCTCTTCCTTGGGAAAACTAATTGCTATATCAGTGGTCTCGTTACTTGTCATTCTAGTGTCCGCGAGTTATTACGATCAAGTTTCCGTCTGTCTTTAGGAGTACGGTGTGATGTCTACAAAATCTATACTTCATCTCTTTCTCCTTCCACCCTTGGTGAAAATATGCTGCAGAATTAAAGCAAAATTATGCAGTCCCCTGAACCCCTTACATCTTGATCTGCTCTCCAATGTTTCTTCTTCCCAATTTCAATGTGTGGAAGTCTATAATCTTACTGCGAAGATCATGTCCTAGACCAGCAGCATCGGCGTCACCCGAGAACGTATTACATATGAAGAATTTCAGGCCTGCTGAATCAGAATGTGCAGCATCAACGAGTCCCATGCTGATTTATTCAGGGAAGAGAAGTTATTTTCTATCTGGACTGAACATGACAGTAAATGTGTTTTGCAAAATTACCTGTAGCAGATTCTTGTCCATCCTTTATTTCTGAGGCTGTATTCGAAACAGAATCTTTCTCGTCACTTGTAACCTGAATGGAATTTGAAACAAAAAAATCAACAAATAAAGTAGGTTTCATAGACTCTGCAGTTACTAGTTCCAAATTTAAATGGAAATTTATTTACCTTCAAGACTGGTTGTTTCCGAGAAGACACTGAAAAGCAAAAGGGATACATAATCACTCATGCGTAAATATGATAAAGTTATCCATACATGCATACAGTGTTAGCACCAAGCTGTATCCTCCTGCCTCTATTAGTGTAGGCTTTGATGTTTTCTACTTTGTGTCTGGGTACTGG